AGGCTATTAGTAATTTTTTAATCTAATTATTCTATTTATAATTAATATAATACTATAGGTATTATTTAAGTACTTAATTTATTTATTTAGTTTATTTATTAATTTGCAGTCTAAATATTATTATAAGTTAGTAATTTAGTCTAAGTTATATTATAAGTAATTACTAAAATATTACTATAAATATAAGTCCTTTATTTAAAAGGATTTTTATAAGTAACCTATATATACTAATAATATATTAATAAAAAATATAAGAAAGTTTTTCTATATCTATTACTTCTCTATAAGGTAAGTAGTATAAGAATTTTATAAGTTAATTAATAATAATTATAATATTATTATAGAAGATTATAATTAAGGGTTTTTTTAATAAAGGTAATTTAGTTATAAAATCTATTATAATTAAGTCCTAAGGTTATTATATTATTAGTAGTAGTTATAATTATTTATAACATTTATGCCTCTAAGCTTTTATTCTTAAATATAAGTTATATTATTTAGTAATATCTTTTATATCTTTCCTTTTAAAGTTATATCCTTAGTCTTAAAGTTATCTTAATATTTTAATAACTCCTTAATATTTATATAAAGGGTATAAATAAAATTTATAAAGGAAGTTATATTCCTTATCTAATAATAGTTTTATTTTAGTTATTTTTATAATTATTTTAACTAATTAAGTAAATTAGTATTCTCCTTTAGAGTTAATTTCTAAGAATTATTTTTTAGTTTTTATAATTCCTATATTAAAATTAGGTTATTAACTAATAGTATTTATATAGTTATTATTAATACCTTTATAATATATTATAATAAAGTTAAATTTATATAAGTACTTAGTATAATATAATTATTATTAATTTAGCTCTTATATTATTATAAAGTAAGTTATATTCTTATAGTTAGTAAATACTTTTATTAGGTATTTACTTCCTTTAAGGTAATATTTAAACTCCTTAAAATAATTAATAATACCTAGGAATTCTTTATTATAAATAAGATAATTAATTTCTGCTTTATATATCTTATAAGAATAAAAAGCAATAGGATATAATATATTATTATTATCTTATTATCTTATTTATCTTCTTAAGGTAAAGTTAGAAGTATTAGTTTTAAGTATAACTTACCGGTTAGGGTTAAATATAGCTAGAATAAGTTTACTTATAATAGCTAATTTAAGCTATTTAAAGGCTTATTATAGCTTATTATTCTATTAGAATTATTTATCCTTTTTAATAATCTTAATAAGAGAGATAATAATTTTATTAAAGTCTTTTATAAACCTTTAATAATAGTTAATAAATCCTAGGAAGGATTAAGTTTTTTTTGTTAATATAAGAGGTTTCTATTTAATAATTACTATAATTTTTTATTTATTTATTTAGATTTTATTATATAAGATTTTATATCCTAAGTATATTACTTAAGATTAATAAAATAGCTTTTAATAGGTTTAATAAGTATATTAATATCTTATAGTGCTTTTAAAACCTTATAGATATATTTTATATACTCTTTTTTTATATTAGAGAAGATAAGGATATTATCTAAGTAATATATTATAAAAATCCCCTGTTTATAATAATAGTATATTAATATTTAGCTAATCTATTAAATCTATTATATATTATATCCTATAACCTATTTGACCCTCTTTATACTGCTAATGCTAATAGTCTTTAACTTTAGGTAATTAAACTTATAAAAAACTTAATATATTTTCTTCCTATAGAACCCTATAATTACCTGTCTTCTATCCTTGTGCTCTCGTAGTCTATAACCATAACTAGCCTAGTCTTTATTAAGGCTTAGTCTTCTCTAGTACCTTCTTGGCCTGCTACTAGATAGCCTTAAATTACTTATTATATAAGCTGCTATAAAGGGCCTTAATAAATTCTCTTTCTCTCTAGCTTAGATTTACCCCTCTAAGTAACTTCCCTTCTAGCTTATAAAGTAGCTCTATCTTATAATTAAAGAAGCCTCTATTAATTAGCTAATAATAAGGCTATATAAGTAGGAGGATCTTATAACTAAAGATTACTAATTTAATATAGCTAGTATTATCCTTTTTTCTCTAGTTTATTTTAATTTTTATTATTATATTATAAAATATATTATAATTATTTTTCTTAATAACTTACTTAATTTTATAGGTTATATTATAGCCTTTTATTAAATAAGGCTTATTAGGATTAGGTGGCTATAGGCTTCTTTTAAGTATTATGGCAGTAAAGCTATAATACTATTAGCGGTTATAATTATAAGTGGATAATTTAAGCGTAGTATCTGCAGGGGTTGGCGATAAAGTGGCCTTTAAAGTGGATTACAGGAAGAAGATTAAGGCTAGCTAAAGAGCAAGGCCCTCTAGCTAGGTTATATATAGCTAGGTTTAGGCTATAATTAAGGCAGTTAACTATAATAATATTAACTTAATAAAGCTTTGCCTACTAAGGGGTAATAAATATTTAAATTAGATTAGACTTTAGAAATACTTAGATATACCTTTTAAGGCTAACTTATAAACTTTAAAAAAAAAAAAAAAGAATATTATAAAAATATTAAGATATTCTTAAAGTATATTTATAATTATATATTAAAATACTATAGGTATATTAATTAATTTAAAAGATATAATTAAATATTTAAATAGTTTATATTTTATTTTAAAGGCTATTTTTTATTTATTACCTTTTTTAATTTAAATAAGGTTATAAGTAAATTTAAGATTAAGAGCTATAAACTATTTCTTATTAAATAAGTAGTCCTTAAGTTTAGTAATAGGTAGTAATAATATTTTATTTTTTTTTATAATCTTATTAAGTTATTAATAATTTATTATAAGTCTTAGTTTATTAGAATTAGGTTTTAATATAAATATAATTAGATATCTTATTAAGGACTTAGATAATTTAATATATCCTTTTTATAATATATTATTTCCCTAGTTTAAACCACTACCTTTTTACTAACTTTACTTTATTTATTCTTATATATAAGGTTAATTAGTTATATGCCCTACTATGTGCATTTAATTAATAGAGGCTAGTTATAACTTTAGGTTAATTTAACTTTCGCCAATTAACTTATATAAACAGAGTTAACCTAATTCCTTTAACTTTTTATTACTAATTTAGAAGTAGCTCCCCCTCGATAATAATAACCCTTTTAGATATATTAATGAGCTACTCTTTATATATAACTAAGTTTAGACCTATAAAGGTAGTAAGGAAGGCTGCCTAATTTAACTAAAGGTAATAACCTTCCCTTAGGCCTCTTTCTAGGTCCTTAAGACCTAATAGCTTAGAATTAACCTAGTTTAGATTAATTAAACTAATATAGTGCCTCTAATTTATATAACTAATTAGCTAGATTAGGCTATAATTAAAGATAGCTATCTTAATAAGGTTAAATTTATACTTTAATAAGAAGTTCTTTTTAATAGTAGTTATTATTATATAAATCTCTTTAAGTTCTTTTTTACTAGCTGTATTTAGGACAGGCCTAATAGCTAGATTAAGGTTATAGCTAGTTATATAATAGGTATAATTATATAACTATAGGCTATTTTATATAATAGGTATTAAGGTAATATAGCTATTATATTATTAGTAAGAAGGGTTAGAAGCCAGGTTAGGAAACTTACTTAAGTATAATAGATAGACTAGGCATAGTATTTCTTTGGGTAGGATAAAGGAAGAAGGGTGACCTAGCTGCTAAGAGGTAATTGGTATTAATACTGCCTAGTTAAGGCAGTAATTACACTATTAAAGCAAATAAACCTTATATAATTTTAAATTTTATAATAATGGCCTATTACAGAGGTCTTACTATTTAAGCCTTTATAGAAAAGTTAAAAAGCTTAATGG